GGCGAGGCTGCCCCTCCCTGGTGGCGGGCAGTGCCTCCCGCTGGGCCAGCTCCGGCCCTCTGGGTTGCCGCCAGCATCGGGTCCCAGGCTGTCCTCAGCCAGGGGCGGCCAGCCCTCCCAGGCCTTCCCGGGACCCCAGCCCGGCTCCACTGCCCGCGCCTCACCCCTCTGTCCAGCGGGACCTGCACGCTCATGTTCAGAGAGCCCGTCTCCCGGTTGATCATGGCGGTCCGCAGCTGTGAGAGCAGAGAGCGGCTGTTAGGTCCTTGGCCGGGCCTGGAGGGGGCCGGGACAGCTGTACGTACCAGCTCACCAGGGAGATCACCGGGAACCCCCTGGATGGCCAGGAACCCCTGGATAGATCACTGAACCCCCCCCCCCGGTTTGTTGGGTGAACCGGAGTGGCCGGCTTCCTACTCACGGCTTCGGCCTGGTCTTCCCACTCCACCTCGGAGAGGTCCACGCTGTTGTAGTTGGGCTTGGGCTTCAGCTTCTTCCCCTCCCTGTACTGGGGGCGGGGGCCGGGGGGGGCGCCGGGTCGGCACACAGCCCAGAGCCCACTCCTTCCCCCTCCCCAGCCTTCCCCGCGAGACTCCTGGACCCCAGGCGATCTCAGCCCCCAGCGGGGGCTCCCCGGCCCCTCAGATCAGAGCCACAGTTCCACACTGCCATGGAGGACGGAGACTCCGCACGGTTGCTGACCTCCGAAGCTGATTCTGGGAGGTCGCAGCCCCTCCGCCCTTCCCTGTCTTCCCGTCCATACCCCAAGGCGAGTCGGCTGTGTACCTACCAGGGGCCGGAGGTCCGGGTGCGAGAGGATGTACCCGTTGTTAGTGTTCAGGAAGGCGTAGCCGTGCACCCCGAGCTGCAGGGCCGGAGTGGGGTGTCAGGCGTTTGTGATGGTGACCAGAGGTGTGTGTGTGTGTGTGCGTGTGTGGTGTGTGTGTGGTGTGTGTGTGGGTGTGTGCATGTGTGTGTGTGCGCGTGTGTGTGCATGTGTGTGTGGTGTGTGTGTGCATGTGTGTGTGTGTGTATGGTGTGTGTGTGGTGTGCGTGTATGTGTGTGTGTGGTGTGTGTGTGTGGTGTGTGTGTCTGCGTGTGGTATGTGTGTGTGTGTGGTGTGTGTGTTCTGGGGCTTGGACTCAGGGCCTGGGCGCTGTCCCTGAGCTTTTTTTTTTCCTCATGTCTAAAGCTCTACCACTCAGAGTCAAGCTACACTTCCAGCTATTTCGGTGGTTCATTGGAAATACGAGTCTCATGGACTTTCCTACCCGGGCTGGCTTTGAACCGAGATCCTCAGATCTCAGCTTCCTGAGTAGCTGGGATGACAGGCGTGAGCCATTGGTGCCTGGCACCTGCCTGGGACCGGGCTGCGGGACTGTCCCAGTGGGGCCAGGTGGCCACCGCCTGCCAAGGCTGGAGCTGGAAGGTCCCCAGAGGCCCAACTGTTGGGGCCACCGGCCCGGGGCCCTGCTTGGCGGAGTGCTGAGGATGGGAGGCCGAGTGGGAGGGGGCTAGGCCACTGGGGCGCGGCTTTGGAAGGGGAAGGGAGACTCCGGCCCTTCCGGCCTGACCTGGGGCCATGGCCGTGCCCCAGGGCCCCGACACCGGAGATCCAAACCCTGAGCCCAAACCACCCGTGGCTCCTCGGAAGTCGGGCTCCGCGCCGTGGCCCCTGAGCCCCCCCGGGCTCACCTTGTAGCGGGGCGCCAGCTTCATGAGCTCCCGCAGGGTCACATCGCAGCCCACCACGCCCAGCAGGATGCCGTGGGCCCGCTGCAAAGAAGATCCCGCGCCGGGGTACTGAGCACCAAGCACCCGGGAGGCCTCCCCAGAGCCCGCCCGCACGCGCCTCGAGAGAACCTTCCCCCCTGAGTCCCCTCGGGGCTGAGATCCTTGGAGGAAAACTCTGGAAGCTGCCAGAGGAATTCCCGGGAGCCCGCTCGGCAGCCGGGAGATTAATGGCCGGCATTAATATTTAAGTGCTGGTATTTAAGCGCAACACAAAGCGGAATGAAATATTCATCTTTGCAGCAGAGCCCAGGCAACATGTGTGACTGCACCCTGTCGCATGAGGGCTCCAGGTGGAAGCCGGAACGTTCTAGAAATTCCCTCCAAGAAGCCCTGGCTAACACATTAGAGTCTGCCTGGCTTGGTAGGCTAAGGGCGGCTTTGCTGGGGGGGCTGGAGGGACCCCTTTGGCCAGGTGTCCCCCAGACAGTGGTCCCGAGGGGGAGACAGGGCAGGGATGACCCCGGCTGGCTGAGCAGAATCGCTGGAGGAGATTCCGGCCAGTCCAGCCCCGCCCCCACCCCGCATCACTGCAACCCCCTGTCCACTGAGGGACCCCACACCCCACCTCACACCCCGCTGTCCACTGAGGGACCCCACACCCCACCTCACACCCCGCTGTCCACTGAGGGACCCCACATCCCTCCCAGCATCGGCCTGGGACCCCTGGCATCTGTCTGCTGTGGACAGGGCTGTGGACCCCTGGCCTCTGCTGTGGACAGTGCTGTGGACCCCTGGCCTCTGCTGTGGACAGCGCTGTTGGACCCCTGGCGGCAGGATAGAGCCGGCGTCACTCACGGTCTCGTTCTTTTTGCTGAAGACTGGCATGGCCACCGTGGTCAGGAGGGTCAGGCTCTGTGCCTTCGAGGTGAAGAGCTGCCAGGGAGGAGGGCGGAAGTGGGGGTCAGGGGAGGGGGAGAGGGGATGGGGGCAGGGGAGGGAGGTCAGTGGCCTGGAGGTCAGGGGATCGGGGTCAGGGAATGGGGGTTCGGGGGATGGGGGTTCAGATGATGGGGATCAGGGACTGGGGGTCAGGGGATGGGGGGTCAGGGGACTGGGGGTCAGAGGATGGGGGGTCAAGGGATGGGGGAGTCAAAGGATGGGGAGTCAGTGGACTGACTGGGTGTTGGGATGGGAGCGTCAAGTGATAGTGGGGGTGAATGGGGTATCGGGCATGAGGGGTTCAGGGGACTGGGGGTGAGGGCCTGGGGGTCAAGGGATAGGGGGTCTGGGCA